TCTTCTATCGACTCGCAGCCGAGTTCCACGCTTGGAAGTAGTGAGGGTCACCGGGAATCCCTCTTTCTCACTTTGAGCAAAGTGAGTGGCATGCTTTCGTAGTTTTATCTGCCATGCGGCCAGAAATGGAGATTTTGGAGACAACAATCTCTTTTTGGCACGCCCGGTGGGACACACTGTGGGCTTTCACATGTTTGTTGATCATATTCTCTATTACTAGATTGTGCCACCATGGCAAGTCCTTATTTTGATGATTGCCAGAAGCTCTTCATCACTCCACCACAAGCTTCCTCTTATGTCAATCCACTTTATGATGAGAAGGCAACAACTGACAATGAGTCTTTCAAATCACTTGCTGAAAGGATAGTTGATTTTACTGAGGAATCTAAAAGGCTTCATGAGGAACGCATGAGGAGGTTGGAGGAAAAGTTGAAAGGATACAAATTAAATCTTTCAAAACTTAAAACCCCTCAACCCAAAAGTGAGGTTTTAATGGAGGATTCAAAGAAGTGCCATGCAGCCGCGTCTCCTAGAACTTTGAAGCAGTTTTGCAAATCGCAAAACGTGACAGAGATGCCAATTGTAAATGAAGGTCAGACGACACTAAGGTCAAAGAGTAACCCCATGATCACAGTCGGGGGGCATGAATCACAATTGCAGCATGCTGTCCAAAGTCAGCAACGCCATGCAGCTTTGGAGGCGACTTCAACAAGTATGTCTCCAAGTCATTCTAAGTCTGCAAAGACTAATACTAGCAATAGTCCTCTTACTCCTGGGAGGCATAAACCAACTCAGGTGCAGACATGTCAGCCATCGATCAATGAAGGTCCATATGATGGTCGACAGCAAGTTGATGTTGCCACACAAAAGCCAACACTTTGGTCGGCATCAGTACATAAATTTGATAAGGTATCCACCTCATCTATTTCTACTTCTTTTGAGACTAACGAGCATATTTCTTCTGTCGTGCTTAAGAAGTGTTTGCGGCGACCATATTTTTTGAGTGGTCGAAGCCCTTCCAAGTTTAATTATGAACAATGGCTGAAGGTGAAATATCCTTTTAAAGTCGTTTGTCTAAAGAGGGGAGTTATTTCCAGTCTCGGGGGGCAACCTAATCAGATTGAATAACAAAGGTTGCAAGAACTTATTACCAATAAAGTTCCTAAAGCTACAGAAAAAAAGGCAGTAGCAGCAAGGCTTGTGCCATTGCAGCTTGATGCCAATCCAAACGTCCAACTAATGTCGCCACAACAAAAGCATGTGTGCAAGCCTAGTCCACCTCAGCAGTTTGCAAACTCATTACCTAAGGCCACTCAGGTGGCATGCAGGCCACCATGTTGTCCAACATGTCGTAGGCCATATTCAAAAAATAATGATTCCTTCCAAAGTGGCTTTCACAAAAAATTCTCAGATTTTCCTTGCAACCACAAGGATAACATGGGAGGTGGCATAAGAAACATCATGCCTTCACATCTGCCAAGTCGAAGAAGGAGGAAGAAATCTAAAGACCTCTGTTGGACACCAATGAAGGAACAAAAGCAACAAACCCATGTCTCTGAGTGGAGGCACGGGGGGCATGATCTTGTAGAAAAGCATGGAGGCATGTGCAAATGCTGCCTCTATAAACAAAGTCAATTTAAACATTGTCGCCATATAAACTTGGTGGCCTGCCAAGAGTTCCCTACCCAAAATCCTAGGACTCTTTGAAGGCGGCTTCAAAAGAAAAGAGCTAAAGAGCGTCAGAGACATGTTGCCAAGGTGCATGCTTCCCAATGGCAACAACCTCCAAGGAAGCAAAGGTTTATCTGGGTGGAGAAGAAGAAACACAGTGCAGCTTCTCAAGAGGCAAATCAAAATTTAGTCAATGCAATCGTGTCTCCAAAGACGTCTGCCAAGCATGTTCCTTTCAAGTCGAATGACTCAAAGGCAGCTAAGAAGCTTAATGTCAGCAGCAAAACAATTAGCCTTGGTGAGTTTATTATTGAACTTCCAAGTTCCAATCCAAATCTCCCTTTTGTTTTTACAAAGAAGCAAGATGCAACCTCTAGTAGCACAAAGGCAGAAAAGAACAAAGCAAACATGTCTGCCAAAGAAAACAAGGGGAAGAATCAAAACAAAGATGTTGCAACCTTTGTTCCAAGAGGAGGAATGCTGCCATCAACTAAAAGCATGCTGCTTAGGAGACATTCTGCTAGCAATATGAAATCTTTGCAAATGCACAAGGCATTAGATGAAGGCACATACTGGCTACAAAACCTTGACGGTAGTCTGCACCTCACAAAAATAAATGGCTTACCTTTTCAGCCATGTTGCCCTTCGGTCTAGAAGTCATGTAGTAGATCGAAGTGGAAATAATCTCTTTGCCTAAGTCAGGTTTGGGTGGAGATCAGCTTTAATTTAGTTTTTGTTTTTAATTTTCTACAATTAGTGTGAATAATCTTGCAGTTGAGCGGCTTTAAGGAAAGCTGTGAGATGGCATTAAGGAAAGCTGTGAGATGGCATTGCTTTTAAGACATGCTTTTTATGGAGGTGTGCTTGATTTATGTCTCCATGTCAACCAACAAGGGAATTCATTGAATTGTTCTTTTTGGAGGCCATATTTTACCCTTTTTTTTGTAGACACACTTTTAGCTGGCTTATTCATCTTTGAAGCCGCTGCGTTTGTTAGCTATGTCTGCCAGATCATATTTCATGCTATGCTGAAGAAAACAACAATCTCAAATTTCTACATTCTTGGAGACATCATGCTTCCTTTACAATGGCCACATGGTGAGGAGTGCTAGGAACAAAATTTTCAAAAACTTGATTCCACTTCCATGAAGTCGTGCAACCAAGTTTTGGGAGGCATTGTTTACACCCATTTTTGCAAAAAAATAGAATGGTGCCATGTGTCATCAATGTTGGCAAGAACTTCATTGGTTGAAAGTTGTTGGAGTAAATCTCTATGAATAAGGTTGAGTGGTTATTTCCATAACAGCAG